CTCAGGCTCTGTGATTATCTGGGAATATTCACCTCGGCAAAATATTCCCCGATAATCACCTCGCCTTTGGCGAATAATTGTTAAATATAATTTTACCATTCCTTTTTCAAATAAATAAATGTTTTCAAACTCAATTTGCTGTGTTTGTTTACTGCAGTCATCAAATCCCTACTTTATCTTATAGTGCACCTTGTGCATGTGTTCTTAACACTGTTTTAACTGTTGTATATTTAGCACAGATGGATCACTGATCTAAAGATGGATCAAGTATGATGTGGTAGGGTGGGTGCTCTGCCAGCTCTGGTGCAGAGTTGTGTCAGTCAGGTGCGCCACCCACCCATCAACTTACTTGACTACAGCAAAGTCTTGCTTGACTACTGTATTGTAATTGTTGTTAACAAACAGTTTACTTATCATCATGTTATTACTCAAATTACTCATTTTGTCTCTAATATTTTTTGCTTTATCATGAAAATACCCCCCCCCCCTGCATACCCTCAGTAGATCCACCCCTGATATTCAAAGTTACAATATATTAAGTAAATACTTAAGATTCATTGCAACATTTTCATGTCACCAATACACCAATATTTACATGTAAAATGTCTACTAAAATATGTATCTATTAAAAGGCTGGTATGGGCAAATTTATATAACAGGTTGCTCTTATTATTCTGGTTCAATAGTTTCATTGCTTGAATCAGTTGAATGGATCATGAGCACAACTTGGCTGGATTAGATGTTAATATACCATTTGCCAAAGCAGGATGTAGGAACAGTTTGCTCAATAACAGTTCTAAATCAGCATTAAATTCATAAGTTCAACTTTTCCCATACTAAGGATCAACAATATAAACAACATTGCCATCATTATCAGATTCCATTTTCACAAAATATATTCGAATTCTATAAAAATAATGGTAAAATACAGTGTATTTAACTTAAAAGCAGCAGTTAAACTCAACAACGATCGACATATATGCGCATGCTTCGAAATAAAACAAAAATAATGACTCGTACAGTAATTTTCCTCGCGCCATAATTCCCATGCGGTCGACTATTCCCGCGATGGGCGACATAGTATACCGAAAATGCCCCATTTTCAAACCGCGATTACTCGTCAGTTTGATGGGGACAATTCATTTTTTAAACTTCTCATAGAAAGAACAACTCTTCCTGAATACGAT